CAGCCGCGCGCCGTCACGCTAATGAAGGGGTGTGAGAAACTTGCAGAGGCACAGTAAAGCAATTTCTAAAAATATTTTACCTATAAATAAAAATCGGGCATTCGGTCCTTGTATTTGCCCTAGGGACTATGAAAACGCCGTATCAATTTACCCAAAAACCAGGAGCAGGCATTAAACACAACGCAACGTAACTTTTCGCCCACATTGCACTAGGCTGCCAGGACGGAGAATCCCGTTTAATTTGGGCTCAGGCAGAAGCCAGGTTGCCCACAGCTGCCAGCGGGGGCTCCATCAGGGGCTCCTCAGGCCCCAGGGCCCTGCGGCCATAAAGAGCAACCTCCCCCCAGGGAGGGTGGCTGCTGCAGGTTTTGGTACGCAGGACTGGGAGGGCCAAGGAAGACGGAGTGGAAGCAAAAGCTAAGGTCCTCTCTGGCCTGGCGCTGAGAAGTGTGCCCTTGGGGCACTCTGAAGAGTCTGCGTAGCAGGCAAGGAGGGGAGACCTGCTCTGGGACTCTTGCCAGCAAGACAGGGCCCCTTGCAGGCAGCCTTTGTTGTGGTTAATGGTGGTGTTGACATCCTCCCTGTGGGAAGATGCTTGTCTGGAACAGAGGGGTTAGGTGTCTCTCCTGGGTTATGCTAATGGTTTTGCAATGGATGTCACGTCAAGTGCTGGTGTGGTGGGGTTTCCAGAGATGCTGCGGGTCGATTGGGGTGCTGCTGGCCCGAGCTGTGGGGCTAGACTGAAGTCTGCCTGCATCTGAGGGGAACGGTGTGCGGCGGTGGCTCTCTGCCCAACCATGTCTCCAGGCTGGCACAGCTGCTTCTTCCCTTGCACGTCTGTACGTCTTTCTCAGTCAGGAAAAGTAGATGTAAAAGGTGTCACCGATCTCCTGTTGCTTCTCCTGAAGGTCCTCCAGCCCATGAGCACAGCAGAGCTCTTGAGAAGGCTGGAGTGAAACGTGGCTCTGCCAGGAGCTTCATCAGCCTCGTGCGGCTGCCAGAGGTGTGCTTGCTGTGCAAGGAAAGCTGCGCTTCTGATCTGCTCAGTGAAGCACCCTGGTCCTGCATGTGCTGGATAAGTGAGGGTATTGCAATAGCAGGTCTTTGGTAGAAAAGGATTAAATTTTTCTGTAGGATTATAAAATGTAACTGGGCTTGAAGGTAGGGTTGCCTTTGGAGAAGTAGTTTATTCTGGCTCTGGTAATGTCCTACTGAAATTAACTGACAACAATAGAAATTACTGTCCTGTAAGGAATAGATACAAATCCCAATTTAAGAAAGACACAAGACCTAAAACTAATTCACTAGCCTCTTCAAAAATCAATGCTTACTTTTATTCACTCTAAGCTTTCCCTATTCTTGTTAACTTGTGTGCCACTGCAGACCTCCTCTTTGGGACCAGAGCTAGAGATTACTTGAATGAGCCTGCCTGGTCCGAGTTCCTGCAAGCTCTAGGGAAATATCAATTCCTGTCTAGCTTTGAATTTTTACTTCTAGTTTTAGTAAATTAATGTAACTTTCTATATTGTTTCTATCTTAACACATTACAGAAAGCTTTTGCTTTGAGGGAGCAATAAACTATATAAACAAGCTGATATATAGGAAAAAGTATCTTATTGAATACTTGAAAAATTGTAGGATACTTAACAAGAATTTGCTTATACATTAACTTCAGGGCAAAGAATGAATGCATTCTGCCTTCCTGAGCTTCAGGTGGGGTCCACCTGCAGACTTGAATACTGGCATCTCTTCTCGGAACAGTGAAGGCTTACTAGTGTGGCTCTTATTAATCTCAATACAGTTTTCTTGACTGCACAACTAGCTCAAATAGTTCTTGCAGGTCTCATTGAGGAGGGTGAGCTATATGGTAAAGGTAAAGGACATTAGCATCTAATAGCTCATGTAACTAGACAAACCATTCTTCACAAAAACCAGACTAGAACCAAGCCGACTTCATTATGAACAGACACATCGGTATTTTTGTATTTATTAAATTAAAACCACACAAAATATAACTGTACACAAGAACACACATCTGATATTCCAATGTCATATCTCACAAAGAAAAATCTCTTGCTGTAACTCTTCCCTTTTATTAGCAGAAATCCAATTTGAAAACAGTTGTTTAATCTTAAAGGCTTTAACTAATCAAAACAAGTTGAATTCCCCTTTCTAGGAATACATCATAACCACACACAGACACACACACAGAGTTCAGAGGCAAGTTCTGCAGCCCTGAAGTAGACAAAACTTCCACAGCAAACTTGCCTATGTTTGCAGAATAAGTAAATTTCTATTATTTTCATAGTTTGTCATTGACAAGCAAACTTATTTAATATTTTTAAATACTTAAACCAAATTTCACTTTAACAAGTATTTACAAAATCTTTACTAAAGATCAACATCCTGCATAAAGGTGACCTCAAGGATATATTGTTGCTACCATGCTACAGTTTGCACAGAAGGGGGATAAAGGCCATTGCTAGTTTTGGAAGGCTTAAACCCTTTGTTGATATAGCAGAAGGACATTAACCTATGGAAGGCAGAAGAGGTCATAATTTCAGTGCAATTACCTATTCATAACTTGTTTTAAGTACATCAAGACGATGAGTCCAAAAGACTTGGTTTTTGAATTATTGACCATTTAGTTCTTTAAGAACTGATTTCATGGAAAGTTTCCAGGCCATCACATCTGTCTTCTACTGGTGATACGAAGAAGTTGCATAGGGACCTTCCTCATTCTCCTCCTCTCTAAAAAGAAAATTATCATTATCATCAGATCAGGAACATACCATGTCTCAACAGTAAAACCGTAATGCAAATGCAGATAACCAGTTCTCCTAATCAAAACAGGTAAGACTGGCATTGCCTAACAGGACTAGTACCTGCAGTATACTACTGTTCATAGAATCATAGAATCATTTAGGTTGGAAAAGACCTTTAAGATCATCAAGTCCAACCGTTAACTTAGCACTAAATGCTACACTCACTTTTTCATTTGCGTATCATTAAAACATTATGTTAAACTTTAAATGAGCTAACATTTAATCAAATCTCTGGGAGATTATCCATACTCTGTTTCCACAGCATTTGCAAGAAAACTGAGAAAACACCATGTCCTGTGGATGAAAAAGTCCTTTTGTGGCTCACGACCACTTTTTTGGCATACCAAAGAATCCTATGAAAAGGGATTTTAAATACATATGTACGTATCACTCTTTTAACATTGTTGGACGGTAAAATCCTGGAATTGTTTCAGATTAACAAAAGCAAACACATTTGCAAGAGTGTCAAGTATTGTACAAATAGAATTAATCATATATCTCTGGAGTTCTCATTATGTTGTTTCAAGAACAGAATGCTGAAAACAAGTAAGGCTGTGTAAGTTCAACAACATCAGGATGTACTTAGAGTTTAATAAACTATTCTTGACACTACAGTGCCAAATCAGTAAGGAAATACTGTAAAGGTTAAACAAGTGGAGGGCAGGCTGGAGTTCCAGTACTGTTGCTTTCAATTTCCCTTTTTTTTCTTTTTTTTTTTTTAAAAAAAAAGCAAGCTTAGTTGTAGGTTTGTTTCAGCCTTTTGAATGGCAGGGTGTGCAGATAGACCAAATGAGGCAAGAACAGGAACAGTCCATCACAGCTGTAGCTGGATCTGTGTCTTGATGCTGCAAGGACATTCCTTGAGTGGGCTCCTTGGTGTATACTTCCTGTGCATCATCAATATTGAGACTGATCACTTGGATTTTCTTAAGAGGAAATACTTGCCCACAAGTGCTACTGTTAATGCAATGACTGGATAAACCAAAATAGTGTTGCTATTAAAAAATCATCAGGAAAAATCAGTCTGCCTACTGTTTACTTGACAATATTGCCTTTAAAAAAAAAAAGTGGTTATGTAAACCTATTGCAGTGCAGCATCGAGTACTAATTCAAGCATGCTAAGTTCTCCAAAGATCATTCTTTTCTACTACTGTAGTGTCAAAATTATGTTCCCGAGAGCCTATTCTTAAAGCTGCTGCCAATGTTAGTGTTCTGGTGAGAACAGAAAGACTTAACAGTTGCTACACTGTGAGCTTCAAAGGATTTCCAGTTACTTTTAATACTGTATGTGCCTCCATATGAAGGTACAGTTATTCAAATAGTCTAATAATGGTATAAGGTAAAAATTATGTATTTCAATAGTATGCCAAGCCCAAATCATGCAGACTTTCTCCCTACTAACTTCTAAACACGATTATTTATCTGCAACTTAAATTTCATATAACACCCACAGAACAGAATTGGAGGAAAGAACCCTACAAACTAACCAAGCAGCTGAGTAACTTGCACTCATTTTCCCAGCCCTTCCCTGTTCTTGGGTAGTCCAGCAAAATTATGTTCTTAAGCCAAAGACATGATACTGCTTTTGCCTTGAAACAACCTTGTCAAAAAAATGAAACCTCAAAAAAACAGGTTTTGGATGAAACTGGTAGTTATTGCAGGGATATGCGGTTACAGTAGCACTGAAAACAGATTTTAGCCTTTCTTACAAATACTACATCTATTTACTTTAGTGATGCTACAGACCCAGCACCAAGCACGATTCTTAAGATACAGATGATCTGTGTATATGTAAGTAGTATCTTTCCTTATATCATCAATTCTGCATTGCAAAACTGCCATGCAATACTGTAATTTGCAGATGCTGTTCATAATACCTGGCATGACAGTAAAGTAAGGAAGCAAACAATTTGTATTTAGTTGAATAAGCACTAAAGTGCTTTTGATCTATAAATTGTCTCAACACAATACATTTTAAATTTTTTTCAGAATTGAAACCTATCAACATACCAAGGTTGTAAGATTGGACTGCAGGACTGTAAAATTCAACCATAACTCCTTGGCTGAAGGTAAATATTTCAAAAAGTATATTCTGAAGCTCTGCTATATGCCCTTCTGGGGCAATGGGTTTCTAGCCACATACGCCCAGAACACAGTTGCCAATAGCAATCTCCTGCTAGTTTGTGATGATGAAGGAGAACTATATCTTCACAGCCTAGACTGTCCAGTAGGGGTGAAGCTTACTTTCTGTGCTGTATACTGAAAACTACTTTGTAATTCTTGGTTTTGTTATGTTTCCCCTTTTAGGAGAATAAAATTTGGCAGAGTTACAGCAAAAACATACCTTCCTTCTAATCAGAGGCTGTCAGAATCGGCCTTTCAGTCTTTTTTTTTTCTTGAAAGCCCTAGTATAAGAATAACATCCATCATGACACGGTGACAGCCAAACACTGGACTGAAATTAGCTGCAGTTGATTATGGTAGATAGTAGGGGTGAATATAGAGAACTGAAGAGTTCAAATAGTGATGTTATATTAGCAGGTCTTCAGACACCAAAGTAACATAACAGGTAGTCTAAGCTGTTTGTCTCCACTTCCCTTGTGAAATACATACTTGGGCTATGGGCTCTTACTTGGCAACTGTCAGTAGAGGGCAGAAGACCGGCACTTGCGTCACAGCCAGCTTTGAGGGGTTTCTGTATGTGGCAGGGACGTAAGAACCATACAGTAGGTCATTATGCTTCAACCTAAGCAAAGCAGTGACTGGCTGTAATGTGCAAAATAAATTTCTGACCAAGGCTCAAGGCATCCTGTAGCTGGCAGTAAGGGTTGGCAAGAACAGCTTCTAACCTTCTGTCCCAGGCTGCAGTACCAGCCTATGCGATGAGGTCTACAACACATTATTTCAAACCAAGGTAATGGCCAGGAAATATGACTAATGTAGATCTTCAGAACTGTACATAGAAAGTACAAGTCTGTTCTGATAGCTTAAAAACAAGTCAAGCTTTATATGAAATAAAATTACACAGTAGTAGCTCCAGCCCATGGTCCACAAGCAACAACATGGCAGTGTGTGTATGTTTAATGACGAAACAATTTTCTTCACTTTTAAGATGCTTAAAATAGCGAAGTGGTAAGTCACTTCAACATTTTCCTTCAGGCAAAGGGAAAGGAACGGCACAGCATTACAATGCTTTGTAGCGCTGTCTCTTCCTGTTTGCTGTTGCCACTTTGCCCAGCAGGTTACAGGAGCTGAAAGACATTTACTGCGAGCTATTGTGTGTATCAGGCTACAAAAAAACACGCTAATAACCACTTCTGTAAGACCACACACACCTGAGTGTGAACAAGTAAACTCGAATCCAATGCCTGGATGCTTCTAGAATCCACAATTAAACAAGACAGCAATCTGAGTTCATGAGTTAGTAGCTTTTGGAAATCTGAAAACAGGATTCTCCACAGGCAGCCTCCTTTATTGAGGTATCTGTTTTCTTAGCTGATAGCCAATGATGGCAAACAATTATTGGGCAAATTGACTCAATTCGTTATCAGTTTCAAATGCTTCAACACCCTATTCTTTCCTAGATTCAGGTCAAGGCAACTGAGCAGATAACAATATATGGCTTAGTGGTAGACTCGGCAGTGTTAGGTTTACGGTTGGACTCTATGAACTTAAAGGTCTTTTCCAACCTAAATGATTCTATGGTTCTGTTCCAGTGCTGCACAGCAGTTAATTATGGTGGCTCGTATAAGCAATAAAGATTAGAGTGGCTCTATTCAGTTGCTATGAGGTTTTCCAAATGAGTCACTAAAAGGCAAACGCAGAAAGATGTGACCTGTCCCAGAAGCACAGTGTATGGCCCCAGTGTTCTAACCTACCACAATACCACCCTAAAATATTAAGGACTCTATAAGGACCTTGCATTAGACCTCTGGTGTTCAACTATCTGAAACAAAAAGCATCACTAAACTTAATTTCAGTTTCAGCATCCTGAAACATGCGTAACAGCATTTTGGCCAAGATGAAGCACTATTGTATTTTCTCAAACTATTACAAGTTGTTTTTCTCCCATGTGTGGATGAAACTAATAATGGGTATTCTTCCCTAGTATGCAAATACATGAGTTGGTGACATGTGCTACAAACAACCATATTAATACTTCTGCATTTCTTTTGGCCTATTATAAAAATATTGCTCAAAACAAAAACAGGTCTTATTGCCTTAAGCTGCTCACCTAGTGCTGCATCTTGGGTAAATATGCCTGATTGGGGGATTCATTAACCAATGATTTCTTGCTCAGTGAACTCTCTAGTAAAAGTAGTATTACATGCAGATCTAGCCATATACTTACATAAACTCTAATATTGAAGGCAGCTGGCACAAACTGGGTGGATCACATGCTGTAATCTTTAATGCTCATCTACTTGTACGGCTAGTAAAGTTTAATATCTAGTCTAAATCTACACCTATGTGCTCCTCAATTTTTCTACCTAACAGCAAGAGGCTTTAGCTGGGAAGAAGCTGACTTTAGAGATTAATATACTTTACTCCTCTGAGAACACTTAAAGGGGTGACTTCAAGAGTTATGATTAAACAACGTAATTCACCTTAAGCTGTCTTTGTAGCACAAGGCAGTTTCTGACTATGAAACCGCCTGTAGAGTTTCATCAGATTCAGTGCATGTACGCACATGCATTCTTGGCAACTTTAAGGGAGACCAAAGAGCAATTTAAGAGATGTCATTCTCTCCATCTGTCAAATCAGGCTCATGCGTATGGTGAGAAGAACTCTTCACATTCTGGAACTGCTAGTGTGCTTCTGTGTGCATTTTCTTAGTTTCAATGTCCCTTCTGGTGGTAGTAGATGTTAACTCTAGGTGCTCCTTTCTTACTCTCAAACAGGCACTTAAGTAAACTGCAGTGTTGGTGCATGTCACGTTCCAAACAGGCTTTGACAAGGCAATCTGAATACAGAAGGCCAGAGTAGTTGGAAACAGCATGCAATTTCATAAATGGCTTTCACTCTAAAATTGAAGATTTGTGTATTCATGAGACTGTCAAGGCCTCCTGCTCCAGGCAAGGGACAAGAAATATGCAGGCAGGAGGCAGAACAGGTGCCTCCTGGGGAGCTGCTGGAGCAGAGCAAGGAATGTTGTTGTCACCTTCCAGTGTGGGCCCAGAAATACCATTGATGGAACACAGCTGAGAAGTATCTCCAGAGCTTTTGGCAATGATGTCCCTCTACTTCTGCTCTCAGCAAGGAGTAAACATTCACTTTGGTCCTCTAGCACTTCCTGTCAGACTGTAAAGGGGTGAACACAGTTGGATAAGATAAGGCAAGGATGGCTTTTGTATGCCATGACTGAAAGCCAGAGGTGGTGGGGTGGAAGGTGACATTATGAAGACTTTATCAGACATACAGGAAACTTTTCTCTTCAGAAGCTTTGGATAACATCCTGCTCAGCAGATAGCCTACAGCTCTGTACTTCATGCTTCCTGTAGCATCATGACCAATAAAAATCTGTGCTCTGTGCATAATTAACAACATTACCTGCTAAATCTGAACAGGAGGTGGCAAAGTAACTCATCCTCCTGTATCCATTAGTCCCTGGGAGGAAATTTGGTACCAGGCCCTCATTTCCCAAGTTGTAACTTAAGCAATACAGGAAATGGATATTAGTAGTAGCAGTGTACTATTTGTGTGGTGTCACTCTGACTATATTGACTCTGCCCATGGTGCAGCAAGGTCTAAGTGAATTTCCTTCTGTAAATTATCACGTTATTTTGTTGAAGGGATGTTAAAATAACTGCCTTCCTCTGGCAGGGACTGTGGTTTCCTGTCACCCAGCTTAACTGCTGGGTCAACACCTACTCTAACCTGTGTTAGATACATATGTCTAATGATCTGAGAGTCAGCAGCAGCACATTTTGATAGATACTCTACATGGTTTCAAATATAACAATACAAGTGAATGAGTTTGAATAGAGAAGGATCTGAGTTCTAACAGCTATTTTTCCTCTTTCATGTAATTAAGTCAAAAGAAAATAATTGACAAGTGTGTTAACAAGATGTGAAAGCATTCCAGCCTTCCCTGAGACTGTAACTCTAAACACTGCCAGAAGGACACTGGGACAGTTGTATGTGGAATGCAACAGATAATGAATTACCTTAAGCTGTCTTATGGGCTATTTCTCCAAATGAGGCTTGTCCAATTGCTAAATGCAATATACTGCTTCCCCTCAAATTTTTGTATATTGAACAAAATTTTTAAGTCGTTGAAATAATCCCTTAACTTCTTAAAGAAATAATGGGACTCTATGCTCAATAGATGTAGTCCTGAAAGGTCACTTTCTTCTTAACATGAAAAGTATGTTGCTTGCGCTCAAAATCAGAGTATGTGAAGCGAACCAGGATGATGGAAGAAGTTTTGCATTAAACAAATTTGCAAAAGCAAAGTACACATCTGAAGGCATAACCTCTCTCCAGCTGTCTAGTAAGAGAAGTGATACCTGTCCCCCATAGCCATACCTCTTATTGTCATGAAAAAGGCCACCTGAGCATCACCCACTGAGGCAATTTCTGAAAAAAATAAACAGGCCACACAACCAGCCCAAGAGACTGCTTGTGAACAAGCTGAGGAAGCCTGTCCCAAGGACATGGGAAAACAAACACTACTGAAGTCCATTCTTGCTCTAAGTCTTTTTCTACCCTCCATGGGATGCCTGCATATGTGAGGGGACAGTCACTGTGGCAGAGAAGTCAAAAGGTACTGCTTTTTCTATAAGTAAAATGTGTGGGAGCTCCTGGCTGTAGAAGAACTACTGAAGAAAAGATAGAAGTCCGCACAGGTGGATCCACGAAGGGAGGGACTGCATAGGGAAAGGAGACAGGATAGCTTAACTGAAACTGCAACATGGAGAATATTTACACAATTATGAGGCAACTGGAGACAGAAGAAAAATGCAATCATGCCTTGCTGTATGCAATCAGCTTCCACACAGGCCTTGTCTTAGTACTCTACTGAAAACTACAGGTTTGCTTAAATAGTTGCCCACTTATGTAGCAAGGCATCTTGGAGAATACTGGCCTTCTACCTTTCATGGAATATTATTGCTATTCTATTAAAAAAATGTATTGTGAGGCAGCCTTTAACTGCCATATCAAGGCATCTGCTAACGGTGCGCTCTGAATGTAGCTGGTGCAGAATAATAGCATAGACTTGCGGTTGACAAAACTACAGATGCTGGCTGAGACCCCACAAAGAAGGTTCAGCTTAGACTAAAAAGCCTTCAGGATGAGATTAAGATGCTTAATACTAAAAGCGGCATTTACCTGACATTGCCATCTTTTAGTTTTCTGGCTGCTTGTTTGGATAACTTAATCTGCAAGTCCAATCTCTGTAGGAAATCTTTGGCAGATAGTTCTTCTGGTGCAGTGGGCTGATTGTCAGGCTCTTGAGGACTGGGAGAAGAACTACTTTCTTCCTGAACTGTCACTAGTCCTTCATCACAAGAAGGAGAGCTGTCAACAGTTTCATTCTCAGGAGACTCCAGTGAATTAAGTCCATTGAACAGTAATGGTTTCTCTGATATAACAGGAATATTCAGGGTTTTCCTCAGAAATATACAGTCATTAGTGAACAGTTTATTTGCCCTCTTTATTTGTTCCATCTGAAAAAGATAGGAAAAATGTAAGTTATTAGGTTTTGGCAAAGTATAAAGTACTAACTTTCTGAAGTAGTACAGTAACCTTTAGTTATAATAAATCTATACTTTCTTTGCAGCAGCAATGACTTCAGGAAAGGATTTTTTTTACTCAAAGTGATTTCAGAGTGTATGTTCTGTCTTAGCCTTGTTAACTCAATACCCTAGTTTCTTCCTTTTATGTAGACATGACTCCAAAATATCGGTCTTTCTAAAGTCTTGCACTACCTAAAGATGCTTTTCTTGAACAGTTTTCCAATCTCTATACAGACTCACATGAACAACTTGCCAAAGAATAAAAATTCTATTGCAAAAGTGCTGCTGATTTGGATTTATATCAGATTAAGGCTCAGAACTGCTAGCAGCTGCTGTAGGTGAACTCTCTGGTAAAAAACATGCGTAATACAAACAAGGGGCGATAAAGTTACCTTGAACATTCTAGGACATGCTAGTTATGAACAGTGAGCACCACAAATCTTGGAAGAGCAATACATGCCTCATCCATAGTATTTTCCCCCCTAGCTGATGTTACAAATTCAGACTTCAGACGAAGTCCTGATTTTCAGTGAGAACTCGGGCAGTGAAAAGAATGGGGGACTCTTAAACACTTTGCAATGCAATTGCATAGACTTGTGGCTGCACTTGTCCAGTAAACTGAATCTACAGCATGATCAACAGCAACCTTTTGTATGTAATAATGCATGGTAACAGCCACCACGTAACTGTCAAATACTTTTCATGCAACTTTTACCCAAAGTACTTCTTACTGATGATGAGTACATCTGTACTCATCAGTATAGATGATCTCATGACAGAAGACGACCCCATCTTGCTCAGCATACTAATGCATAAAGCCCCACTTGTTCTATACTTAACCTGAGAAGCTATTATAAATTCCATTGCTTTACAGGCAAAGAAAAGCTCACAGTAAATGTTTATACTATCTCCCTACTAAGAATGTTGTTTAAGTTCTTACTCATCAAAATTTCCCTTCCAAGTCAATAATTAAACTAGCTTTCTATTTCTCAATTGCAAGCTTTAAAAAAACCACAGAAACCAGTATCCATAATTATGTAACTTTAAGCTTTAGTTACAACCTGAACTCATGATTTCATTAGGCAAAGTCCTAAGTGAAAGAAAGAAAAATGACCATTCTGGTCCCCTGGTGACTGCAATAAGCAGAAATCCCTAATCACTACAGTACTGCAACGATAAATGCACTCTAAATAAAATGTGCTTGAAAACAGGTATAAAGAGAACTGAAAATGTCTCTTGCCCACATTAGAAGTGTTATTCATTTTTATTCAACTAAATGGAGCTAAACTGAGTAAGAATAAAGACTGTAAGTCTTGTAATAGTAGGAGTCTTACTGCTAGCACAATAGCTCAGAAAAAGCTGAGCACTCTAAGCACTAGCCACTCACCGCTTCAAAGTCTGAAGTATCTTCAGTTCGGCACTCAGATGACGAAAAAATTGCTCTACCATCTTATGCTTGTCAGTCTTAAACTCTTTAAAACTTTGCCCTGACACCACTTGGAGTCCTTTCCAATTGCAAAAGAAAAGACCATTGTTAACAGATAATAACTGGGTTAACAGGCCTGTGCATTTCTTACACTGAACTTACTAGCAGGGGAAGCTGTCTAAAACCAAGGGAAAACAGTAGAGATGCTAGTCTTCTCTGTGCAGATGTGAGACTGCGTGGCCACTTGCAAAACTGGAATAAACTCCTGCATGCAACACAGACCTGTACTGTGTGGTTAAGAGTATCTGCTGCAGTGCCATTATAGATCTGGTGTCATGTATGGATGCATTTGCTTGGGTCCTGGAAGCCTGATGAAATCTTTCTCCATAAAACTAAATAGGAGATTCTCTCTAGAAAGCCTAGGTCTCTGGGAGAGCGAGAATAGTGAAAATAGTGCCATAATACTCAGCAGTAAGTTATTTCTATGCATTAAATATACCAAAATGGTATTCTCTACTTAAAGACAAGCCCAACCTGTTGCTGCAGATGGCTAAGATGATGGAATGATTAGATCTAGTAATCACTTTCAAAAGCTGAATAACTAATATCCAGTGTCAGATAGCAAGCTACTACTTCAAGTAAGTGAAGCTTATTGCTTTTCCAGTTCCTGAAGCCTGGAAACTATTTTTAGTTAGCCTTACACAGTATACAGTGTACCTCTCAGTTCTCTCCCAAGCTGAGTACCATCTGAAGGGCACAAAGAAAGCTTCACCTGACTTAGTAATGAGACCTATAACAGCCATCAGATGCTAGTTGAAACGTCAATTGTCAAAATGTCTAAAAGTTGTCTGTCTTGGTGAGTATCAAAAAATGTTTAAAATGGTAGCTGGAGCTTTTCTCTAAAAATACAATACAAAAGCTGAAAACTGAGATCTCTACTACAGGGGAATTGGAAGGTGATGCTTCAATAGCTGATAAATAATGCACTGTACTGCTGTTCTCTATCCTACTTCACTGTAACTCTACCTCTGGTTATTTCTTCCTAAAATACCTTTTAAATATCATCTTGCGGCATTTGGAAGACTCTGCGCTGAGTAACAATGGAATGGGAAATACTTGGTTCTAAAAAGCACATCCCTCAGCCTTGAGCAGGTTACTTGATATGTGTAATATATACTGCTCCTTCTACAACTCAGTGAGACTCCACACGTTCATAGGTGTATGGAGAGCAGGATTTAACACTAGTTTTCTCAGTGCTAGGAAAACTGAATTAATTTCGGTTAGCTACAGACCTGTAAGAGTGAAAGCATGTGCTAAAGCCTTTGCTTTTTAACTGAAGCTGCACTAATGCATAAACTGGTGCTGAACTAATCCATCAAAACTGCTTCTACTGACAATGAAACAAATAGTTCTCTTCCTTCTCCCCTCAAAAGGGATACCTTTGTATGATGGAAAACAGCACTCCAATTGAACTGTAAGTATGATACTAAACATTAACTCCCAGCGTTAATTTACCCAAGGGTGTTCAAAGGAAGATCTAATGACACAAGCCATATGAGATTAATAGACAGTATCTGGGGGAGAGAGGTGAAGGGCAAAGGATGAGGCCAAACAAAGCACGCTGATCTCTCTCTTTCCCCCAACATTTTCATCCACCTTAAACTGCCTATGCTATGTCTTGCCAAGGCAGGCACTGGACAGGATGTCTCTTGCTGCAAAGTAACTCCCAGTGAGGAAAACCACAGGGGGAAACTTCTAAAAATAGTAATACTGGAGGCTATGGCAGCCAAAGATAATTCTGATGTTCCTATTACAGCAACTCTCACTTCTAGTCAAGTATACAGGATGCAGGAAGCAAATGTAATGACTCTTCAGAGGAAGACAGTCCTTGTCATTGTGTGAACACATAACATTCTTCATTTTGCTAAAAGCAAACGTGTTTGCATACATTCCTATCCTGGGCTGAAACTCATTAAAGCAGAAACACAATGGCTGATTTCAGCTAACTTGGCACTGCTCTTAGGGACACTTCATGTCAGTTTAACCTTTCTCAATTGAAGTCTACAATGATGCCATTCTACTTTCTTAAGCAGAATACTAGCAACATTAAATCAAATAACAAATGAGATGTTTAAAAAAACCCAGCATTTATACTTTAAATGCATCATTAGCACAGCAAAAGCTTATTAAACTCATACTGTAAACAAAGTTTATGGTTCATAAGTTAAACCGTTTTTTTCACACTGTACAGGTTTGATCCACAACTTCACTTTAGCTGAAAGGGAGTTGTAAAGTGTTTAGAAATGCCTTTTTTCTAGAACACTACTACTTTAGTAATCTGTTTATATTTTTCACTTATTGCAGTGAGCAATTCAGCATTTTTCTGAAGGAAGAACAACATAGCTAAATCATTTAGGCCAGAGACTTTATCCAGTACGGAAAGTACTGTCAAAAATAAAAATTCAGATCCAGTCAGCAGCTAGATCACTTTGCTTTGCCCCCACAGTGAGCAAAACTTTGTTTTAATGTGGACCAATGTAATTCCAAAATGCCATTAGTCCTGTTGTCAACAAGATTTGGTAAAAAGTGGCTTAATCTTTCTAGACTTTTAACCCTTTTCACAACAAAGGCTGAATGCTGTTGAAGTTGCCAGAAGGCTTTAGAAGGTCTTTCGGAACCAGAGAAGGAAAGGAAACCCCTTCCAGTCAGAACCTATTAATTTGGGACTGCATGGTACCTCTTCTAGAAAGAGCCCAACGGGAAGGTGCTCTTTGCAGCTGATGTGAAAGTGCCATTGACTGTGTACTGATACCATGCTGTTAGCTATGCTCATCAGCTGCTTTGCCCCAAGAAATTTTGCATGTTGGGACTACTGAAGCTGCACATAGATATGTCAGTTGGTAGCTCACTGGGCCCCAAATAAGCTGGAATGAAGGTAGTGTAGGCGAGCTCTGTTCTGTGGGAATGGTAGTGTGTTAGGGCCTTCTGGTAAACCTGATTGGACTCTCCGTGTCTTAGGCTGGCACAAGTCTGTCAACATTTTCCCCACAAGTAAACTTTCTTCTCTACAGGAAGAAAGCAGAAGAGCAGCAACACTTTCAAATCAGTTGTAAATCATCTCTAGGCTGGTAGGCAGATGCCAATGGAAGAATTGTTAGCCCTTAAACTACCGGAAGAAATTCTTTCTTCTTGTCGCAGCCTATGTGTCAATCTCAAAATAATGATTCTTCTCAAGATAAGTTGAATTACATTGTTTTTTTTAATCTGAATGAGTGTAGTGGTGAATTGTCCTGTAAGCACAGGCCCACTCTGTGGTATTAAGTGCATCTCACTTCCTAGGGGCCACCGGCCAGCGCCCCAAACCCAGCACTCGCCAGCTTCACACCTGTGCTGCAAAAGGCCCTGGGCCCTGTCACGGGCGGTGCGAACTGCAGCCGCTTACCATCAGAACTGGGCGCTGACCCCTCCAAACAGGTCATAAGATTCCGATGTCAGTATTTTAAAC